CAGTCACTCACTCAGTCAGTCACTCAGTCACTCACTCACTCACCACTCTCTCGTTCTTCCTGCTGGAGGGATGGCCCCTTACTACGTACTGGGCTGTGTTCACCTTCTGTAGGTGAGAGATACTCACCACTCACTCAGTCAGTCACTCACTCACTACTCAGTCACTCACTCAGTCACTCAGTCACTCAGTCAGTCACTCACACACTCACTCACTCACCACTCAGTCACTCACTCAGTCAGTCACTCACACACTCAGTCACTCAGTCACTCACTCACTCACCACTCACTCACTACTCAGTCACTCACACACACACTCACCACTCACTCTCTCGTTCTTCCTGCTGGAGGGATGGCCCCTTACTACGTACTGGGCTGTGTTCACCTTCTGTAGGTGAGAGATACTCACTCAGTACTCACTACTCACTCAGTCAGTCAGTCACTCACTCACCACTCTCTCATTCTTCCTGCTGGAGGGATGGCCCCTTAGCACGTACTGGGCTGTGTTCACCTTCTGTAGGTGAGACACACTCACCACTCACTCACTCACTACTCACTCAGTCACTCAGTCACTCACTCACCACTCAGTCAGTCACTCAGTCACTCAGTCACTCACTCACTCACCACTCACTCACTCACCACTCTCTCGTTCTTCCTGCTGGAGGGATGGCCTCTTACTACGTACTGGGCTGTGTTCACCTTCTGTAGGTGAGAGATACTCACTCAGTACTCACTACTCAGTCACTACTCACTCACCACTCACTCTCTCGTTCTTCCTGCTGGAGGGATGGCCCCTTAGCACGTACTGGGCTGTGTTCACCTTCTGTAGGTGAGACATACTCACCACTCACTCACTCACCACTCACTCACCACTCACTCACCACTCACTCACACACACACTCACTCAGTCACTCACTCACCACTCACTCTCTCGTTCTTCCTGCTGGAGGGATGGCCCCTTAGCACGTACTGGGCTGTGTTCACCTTCTGTAGGTGAGACACACTCACCACTCACTCACCACTCACTCTCTCGTTCTTCCTGTTGGAGGGATGGCCCCTTAGCACGTACTGGGCTGTGTTCACCTTCTGTAGGTGAGAGATACTCACTCAGTACTCACTACTCAGTCAGTCAGTCAGTCACTCACTCACTCACCACTCACTCACTCACACACCCACTCACTCACTCACCCACTCACTCACTCAGTCACTCAGTCACTCACTCAGTCACTCACTCACTCACACACTCACCACTCTCTCGTTCTTCCTGCTGGAGGGATGGCCTCTTAGCACGTACTGGGCTGTGTTCACCTTCTGTAGGTGAGAGATACTCACCACTCACTCAGTCAGTCACTCACTCACTACTCAGTCACTCACTCAGTCAGTCAGTCACTCACTCACTCACACACACAGTCACTCAGTCACTCACCACACACTCACCACTCTCTCGTTCTTCCTGCTGGAGGGATGGCCTCTTACTACGTACTGGGCTGTGTTCACCTTCTGTAGGTGAGACACACTCACTCAGTACTCACTACTCAGTCAGTCACTCACTCACTACTCAGTCACTCACTCAGTCACTCAGTCACTCAGTCAGTCACTCACACACTCACTCACTCACCACTCAGTCACTCACTCAGTCAGTCACTCACACACTCAGTCACTCAGTCACTACTCACTCACACACTCACTCACCACTCTCTCGTTCTTCCTGCTGGAGGGATGGCCTCTTACTACGTACTGGGCTGTGTTCACCTTGTGTAGGTGAGACACACTCACCACTCACTCACCACTTAGTCACTCAGTCACTCACTCACTCAGTCACTCACTCAGTCACTCAGTCACTCACACACACAGTCACTCAGTCACTCACCACACACTCACCACTCTCTCGTTCTTCCTGCTGGAGGGATGGCCCCTTACTACGTACTGGGCTGTGTTCACCTTCTGTAGGTGAGACACACTCACCACTCACTCACCACTCACTCACTCACTCAGTCACTCACTCAGTCACTCACACACTCACTCAGTCAGTCAGTCACTCAGTCAGTCACTCACACACTCACTCAGTCACTCACTCAGTCACTCACACACTTACTCACCACTCACTCACTCACTCACCCACTCACTCACCACACACTCACCACTCTCTCGTTCTTCCTGCTGGAGGGATGGCCCCTTAGCACGTACTGGGCTGTGTTCACCTTCTGTAGGTGAGAGATACTCACTCAGTACTCACTCACTCACTACTCAGTCACTCAGTCAGTCACTCAGTCACCACTCACTCACTCACCACTCACTCTCTCGTTCTTCCTGCTGGAGGGATGGCCTCTTACTACGTACTGGGCTGTGTTCACCTTCTGTAGGTGAGAGATACTCACTCAGTACTCACTACTCAGTCACTCAGTCAGTCACTCAGTCACCACTCACTCACTCACTCACCACTCACTCTCTCGTTCTTCCTGCTGGAGGGATGGCCCCTTACTACGTACTGGGCTGTGTTCACCTTGTGTAGGTGAGACACACTCACTCAGTACTCACTACTCAGTCAGTCACCACTCACTCACACACACTACTCACCACTCACTCACTCACTCGTTCTTCCTACTGGAGGGATGGCCTCTTACTACGTACTGGGCTGTGTTCACCTTCTGTAGGTGAGAGATACTCACCACTCACTCACTACTCATTCAGTCAGTCACTCACTCACCACTCACTCACACACTCACCACTCACTCTCTCGTTCTTCCTGCTGGAGGGATGGCCCCTTACTACGTACTGGGCTGTGTTCACCTTCTGTAGGTGAGAGATACTCACCACTCACTCAGTCAGTCACTCACTCACTACTCAGTCACTCACTCAGTCACTCAGTCAGTCACTCACTCACCACTCACTCACCACTCACTCCCTCGTTCTTCCTGCTGGAGGGATGGCCCCTTACTACGTACTGGGCTGTGTTCACCTTCTGTAGGTGAGAGATACTCACTCAGTACTCACTACTCAGTCACTCAGTCACTCAGTCACTCAGCCACTCACTCAGTCACTCAGTCACTCACTCAGTCAGTCACTCACTCAGTCACTCAGTCAGTCACTCAGTCACTCAGTCACTCAGTCACTCAGTCACTCAGTCAGTCACTCACTCAGTCACTCAGTCAGTCACTCAGTCACTCAGTCACTCACTCAGTCACTCAGTCACTCACTCAGTCACTCAGTCACCACTCACTCACTCACTCACCACTCTCTCGTTCTTCCTGCTGGAGGGATGGCCCCTTAGCACGTACTGGGCTGTGTTCACCTTCTGTAGGTGAGACACACTCACCACTCACTCACTCACTACTCACTCACCCGCTCACTCACCACTCACTCAGTCACTCAGTCACTCACTCACTCACACACTCACTCAGTCACTCAGTCACTCAGTCAGTCAGTCACTCACTCACACACTCACTCAGTCACTCACTCACTCACTCACCACTCTCTCGTTCTTCCTGCTGGAGGGATGGCCCCTTACTACGTACTGGGCTGTGTTCACCTTCTGTAGGTGAGAGACACTCACTCAGTACTCACTACTCACTCAGTCAGTCACTCAGTCACCACTCACTCACTCACTCACACACTCACTCAGTCACTCACTCACTCACTCACCCACTCACTCACTCACCACTCACTCACTCACCCACTCACTCACTCACTCACCACTCTCTCGTTCTTCCTGTTGGAGGGATGGCCCCTTACTACGTACTGGGCTGTGTTCACCTTCTGTAGGTGAGACATACTCACCACTCACTCAACACTTAGTCACTCAGTCACTCAGTCACTCAGTCAGTCACTCACACACTCACTCAGTCAGTCACTCAGTCACTCACTCAGTCACTCAGTCAGTCACTCAGTCACTCAGTCACCACTCACTCACTCACTCACCACTCTCTCGTTCTTCCTGCTGGAGGGATGGCCCCTTACTACGTACTGGGCTGTGTTCACCTTCTGTAGGTGAGAGATACTCACCACTCACTCACCACTTAGTCACTCAGTCACTCAGTCAGTCAGTCACTCACTCAGTCAGTCACTCAGTCACTCACTCACTCACACACTCACTCAGTCACTCAGTCACTCAGTCAGTCAGTCACTCACTCACTCAGTCACTCAGTCACTCACTCACTCACACACTCACTCAGTCACTCACTCACTCACTCACCCACTCACTCACCACACACTCACCACTCTCTCGTTCTTCCTGCTGGAGGGATGGCCCCTTAGCACGTACTGGACTGTGTTCACCTTCTGTAGGTGAGAGATACTCACCACTCACTCACCACTCACTCACTCACTCACCACTCACTCACCACTCACTCACTCACTACTCACTCACCACTCACTCACCACTCACTCACACACTCACTCACTCACCACTCACTCACCACTCACTCTCTCGTTCTTCCTGCTGGAGGGATGGCCCCTTACTACGTACTGGGCTGTGTTCACCTTCTGTAGGTGAGACACACTCACCACTCACTCACCACTCACTCACACACACACTCACTCAGTCACTCACTCACCACTCACTCTCTCGTTCTTCCTGCTGGAGGGATGGCCCCTTACTACGTACTGGGCTGTGTTCACCTTCTGTAGGTGAGACACACTCACCACTCACTCACTCACCACTCACTCACTCAGTCAGTCAGTCACTCACTCAGTCAGTCACTCAGTCACCCACTCACTCACTCACTACTCACACACTCACTCAGTCACTCAGTCAGTCAGTCACTCACTCACTCAGTCACTCAGTCACTCACTCACTCACACACTCACTCAGTCACTCACTCACTCACTCACCACTCTCTCGTTCTTCCTGCTGGAGGGATGGCCCCTTACTACGTACTGGGCTGTGTTCACCTTCTGTAGGTGAGAGATACTCACCACTCACTCACTCACTACTCACTCACCACTCACCCACTCACTCACTCACCACTCACTCACCACTCACTCACCACTCACTCAGTCACTCACTCACCACTCACTCTCTCATTCTTCCTGCTGGAGGGATGGCCCCTTACTACGTACTGGGCTGTGTTCACCTTCTGTAGGTGAGACACACTCACCACTCACTCACCACTCCCTCACCACTCACTCACCACTCACTCACACACACACTCACTCACACACACACTCACCACTCACTCTCTCGTTCTTCCTGGTGGAGGGATGGCCCCTTACTACGTACTGGGCTGTGTTCACCTTGTGTAGGTGAGACACACTCACCACTCACTCACCACTCACTCACCACTCACTCACCACTCACTCACTCACTACTCACTACTCAGTCACTCACTCACTCACCACTCACTCACTCAGTCACTCACCCACTCACTCACTCACACACTACTCAGTCAGTCACTCAGACAGTCACTCAGTCACTCACTCACACACTCACTCACCACTCGCTCTCTCGTTCTTCCTGCTGGAGGGATGGCCCCTTACTACGTACTGGGCTGTGTTCACCTTCTGTAGGTGACAGACACTCACCACTCACTCACCACTCACTCACCACTCACTCACTCACCCGCTCACTCACCACTCACACACTCAGCCACTCAGTCACTCACCACTCAGTCACTCAGTCACTCACTCACCCACTCACACACTGAGTCACTCACTCACTCACCACTCACTCACTCAGTCAGTCACTCACTCACTCACCACACTCACTCACCAATCTCTCGTTCTTCCTGTTGGAGGGATGGCCCCTTACTACGTACTGGGCTGTGTTCACCTTCTGTAGGTGAGAGATACTCAGTACTCACTACTTAGTCAGTCACTACTCACTCACTCACTACTCACTCAGTCACTCAGTCAGTCACTCACCACTCACTCACCACTCAGTCACTCAGTCACTCACACACTCACACACTACTCACTCACCACTCACTCACACACACACTCACTCAGTCACTCAGTCACTCACCACTCACTCACCACTCTCTCGTTCTTCCTGCTGGAGGGATGGCCTCTTACTACGTACTGGGCTGTGTTCACCTTCTGTAGGTGAGAGACACTCACCACTCACTCACCACTCACTCACTCACCACTCAGTCAGTCAGTCAGTCACTCAGTCAGTCACTCACTCACTCACTCAGTCACTCAGTCACTCACTCACTCAGTCAGTCACTCACTCAGTCACTCAGTCACTCACTCACTCACTCAGTCACTCACTCACTCAGTCACTCACTCACTCACTCAGTCACTCAGTCACTCAGTCACTCACTACTCAGTCACCCACCCACTCACTCACCCACTCACTCACCCACTCACCCACTCACTCACCCACTCACTCACCCACTCACTCACTCGCTCACCCACTCACTCACCCACTCGCTCATCCACTCACTCACCCACACACTCACCCACTTACTCACTCACCCACCCACTCACCCACTCACTCACCCACTCACCCACCCACTTACTCACCCACTCACTCGCTTACCCACTCACTCACCCACTCACTTTCTCTCTCACCCCCCCACCCACTAACCCCCCCACCCACTAACCCCCCCTCCCTCTCCCCGTGTCTCCCCCCCCCCCCCCCCAGTGCTCTCCCCGCCGCCGTGGAGGTGACCCTCATCGTCTGCGCCATCACCTGCAAGAGGAGGCCGCTGTGAAGCCTCCCCTCGCCTACAACCGCCCCCAGCTGCCCCTCACTGCCCTGGGCATCCTTCCTCGCTGTGGTCACTCACATGCCACGCCCCTCTCACTTCATGCCACGCCCCTCTCACTTCATGCCACGCCCCTCTCGCTTCATGCCACGACCTTCTCCTGTCATGCCACGCCCCTCTCACTTCATGCCACGCCCCTCTCAGTTCATGCCACGCCCCTCTCAGTTCATGCCACGCCCCTCACACGTCATGCCACGCCCCTCACACGTCATGCCACGCCCCTCTCACTTCATGCCACGCCTCTCTCACTTCATGCCACGCCCCTCTCATTTCATGCCACGCCCCTCTCTCACGTCATGCCACGCCCCTCTCACTTCATCCCACGCCCCTCTCACTTCATGCCACGCCCCTCTCTCACTTCATGCCACGCCCCTCTCACTTCATGCCACGCCCCTCTCTCACTTCATGCCACGCCCCTCTCTCACTTCATGCCACGCCCCTCTCACTTCATGCCACGCCCCTCTCTCACTTCGTGCCACGCCCCTCTCAGTTCGTGCCACGCCCCTCACACTTCATGCCACGCCCCTCTCTCGCTTCATGCCACGCCCCTCTCACTTCAAGCCACGCCCCTCTCACTTCATGCCACGCCCCTCTCTCACTTCGTGCCACGCCCCTCTCAGTTCGTGCCACGCCCCTCACACTTCATGCCACGCCCCTCTCTCACTTCATGCCACGCCCCTCTCACTTCATGCCACGCCCCTCTCTCACTTCATACCACGCCCCTCTCACTTCATGCCACGCCCCTCTCTCACTTCATGCCACGCCCCTCTCGCTTCATGCCACGCCCCTCTCACTTCATGCCACGCCCCTCTCACTTCATGCCACGCCCATCACACTTCATGCCACGCCCCTTTCATTTCATGCCACGCCCCTCTCTCACGTCATGCCACGCCCCTCTCTCACATCATGGCACGCCCCTCTCACTTCATGCCACGCCCCTCACACTTCATGCCACGCCCCTCTTAATGCCACGCCCCTCTCACTTAATGCCACGCCCCTCTCACTTAATGCCACGCCCCTCTCACGTCATGCCACGCCCCCTCTCGCTTCATGCCACGCCCCTCGCTTCATGCCCCGCCCCTCTCACGTCATACCACGCCCTCTCACTTCATGCCACGCCCCTCTCACTTCATGCCACGCCCCTCTCATTTCATGCCACGCCCCTCTCACGTCATGCCCCGCCCCTCTACCTTACCGCCTCCCTTTTTCTGACACCGCCCCCACCTTTTTTGACACCCGCCCCCATTTAAACACCGCCCCCTCCCTCTTTTTTTTTTAACACCGCCCCCTTTGTAACTTCGCCCCGCCCACTTTCCCCATCCACCCATCTACTCCCGGAGGGAGGGGGGGGATGAGGTGGGGAGGGGGGAGAGGGAGTGAGGGGGGGGGGGTGAGGGGGAGAGGGGGAGGGGGGAGTGGGAGGGAGTGAGGGGGGGGGAGTGAGGGAGTGAGGGGGGGAGTGAGGGGGGGGGGAGAGGGGGGGGGGAGAGGGAGGGGGGAGTGAGGGAGGGGGGAGTGAGAGAGGGAGAGGGAGGGGGGGAGGCGCGAGGGGAGTGAGGGGAGAGGGAGTGAGGGGGGGTGAGGTGGGTAGTGAGGGGGGGGGGAGAGGGAGTGAGGGGGGGGGGTGAGGGGGGGAGAGAGAGTGGGGGGGGGGGTGAGGGAGTGAGGGAGGGGAGTGAGGGAGTGAGGGGGGGGTGAGGTGGGTAGTGAGGGGGAGGGGCGAGGGGAGTGAGGGGGGGGGAGAGTGGGGGGGGTGAGGGAGTGAGGGAGGAGAGAGAGGGAGTGAGGGGGGGGTGAGGTGGGTAGTGAGGGGGAGAGGGAGTGAGGGAGGGGAGTGAGGGGGGGGTGAGAGAGTGGGGGGGGGTGGTGAGGGAGTGAGGGAGGGGGGAGAGGGAGTGAGGGGGGGGTGAGGTGGGTAGTGAGGGGGAGGGGCGAGGGGAGTGAGGGGGGGGGAGAGAGAGTGGGGGGGGGGTGAGGGAGTGAGGGAGGGGGGAGAGGGAGTGAGGGGGGGGTGAGGTGGGGGAGTGAGGGGCGAGGGGAGTGAGGGGAGGGGTGAAAGGGGTGGGGAGGGGTGACGTCTCCCTGAGGAGTGGTGATCCCCACCCCGCCCTCTCGCCACGCCCCCTCACCCCTCGCCACGCCCCTTGCCCCTCCCCCTCTGGGTATATCTCGTGCGGGCGCGCGCCCCCGCGGTCAACTCTCAACGCTGCCGCGGCTCCACCGCGTGGCGCGCGCCCGACTCTGATCACGTGGGGCGCCCCCCCCCCCCCGCGCTACCCCCTCCCCCCCCTTCTCTCGCCGACCCTCCCCTCACGTCGAGCAAGGTAATTATTCTTCCCGCCAAAATTTTCCCGCCAAATTTTCATCGGCGCTGTGCGCGTGTGTAAAATGTTATTTCTTTTTTTTAACAATCACAGCTACGATAAATCTAATTCATCGATCCGCGATATGTATCGCGATCTAGACGACGATCGTGGCGGGTTTTCCCTCAAGAATGCAACGTGGTCGTGTTAATTTTTTTAAATAAAAAAATATTCGTTATTTAGTTGGGACAGTTGTGAAAGTGTTATTGTAATCGCGCTTGTGTGTTGCGTGGTGATCTGTAATATGTTTGTAAAGAGTGCGCACATTTCGCAATTAAAGTTACGTCAAAGTGTACTGCTTGTGTTGCAGTCGAAACGTCGTGAGAATTTTATTGTTTTATATATATTATTTTATTATTTCCCTTCAACGTGACTTTACCGAAAGGACCAAGAATATGTATGCTACGTGTTAACGATTTCTCGACAAAGATTAAAAATACTTAAAGAGTACCTCAGAAAAATACTTAAAGAGCACCTCAGAAAAATACTTAAAGAGTACCTCAGAAAAATACTTAAAGAGTATCTCAGAAAAATACTTAAAGAGCACCTCAGAAAAATACTTAAAGAGTACCTCAGAAAAATACTTAAAGAGTACCTCAGATAAATACTTAAAGAGTACCTCAGAAAAATACTTAAAAAGTACCTCAGAAAAATACTTAGAGTATCTCAGAAAAATACTTAAAGAGTACCTCAGAAAAATACTTAAAGAGTACCTCAGAAAAATACTTAAAGAGTACCTCAGATAAATACTTAAAGAGTACCTCAGAAAAATACTTAGAGTACCTCAGAAAAATACTTAGAGTACCTCAGAAAAATACTTAAAGAGCACCTCAGAAAAATACTTATAAAGAGTACCTCAGAAAAATACTTAAAGAGTACCTCAGAAAAATACTTAAAGTACCTCAGAAAAATACTTAAGTAAACTCAGAAAAATACTTAAAGAGTACCTTAGAAAAATACTTAAAGAGTACCTCAGAAAAATACTTAAAGAGTACCTCAGAAAAATACTTAAAGAGTACCTCAGAAAAATACTTAAAGTACCTCAGAAAAATACTTATAGTACCTCAGAAAAATACTTATAGTACCTCAGAAAAATACTTAAAGAGTACCTCGGAAAAATACTTAGAGTAAACTCAGAAAAATACTTAAAGAGTACCTCAGAAAAATACTTAAAGTACCTCAGAAAAATACTTAAAGTGTACCTCAGATAAATACTTAAAGAGTACCTCAGAAAAATACTTAAAGAGTACCTCAGAAAAATACTTAAAGTACCTCAGAAAAATACTTAAAGTACCTCAGAAAAATACTTAAAGAGTATCTCAGAAAAATACTTAAAGAGTTCCTCAGAAAAATACTTAGAGTAAACTGAGAAAAATACTTTAAGAGTACCTCAGAAAAATACTTAAAGAGTACCTCAGAAAAATACTTCAAGTATTTTAGAAAAATACTTAAAGTACCTCAGAAAAATACTTAAAGAGTACCTCAGAAAAATACATAGAGAGTATCTCAGAATAATACTTAAAGATTACCTCAGAAAAATACTTAAAGAGTACCTCAGAAAAATACTTAAAGAGTACCTCAGAATAATACTTAGAGTACCTCAGAAAAATACTTAGAGTAAACTCAGAAAAATACTTAGTACCTCAGAAAAATACTTAAAGAGTACCTCAGAAAATACTTAAAGAGTACCTCAGAAAATACTTAAAGTACCTCAGACAAATACTAAAAGAGTATCTCAGAAAAATACTTAAAGTACCTCAGAATAATACTTTTAGTAAACTCAGAAAAATACTTAGACTACCTCAGAAAAATACTTAAAGTACCTCAGAAAAATACTTAGAGAGTATCTCAGAAAAATACTTAAAGAGTACCTCAGAATAATATTTAAAGAATACCTCAGAAAAATACTTAAAGAGTACCTCAGATAAATACTTAAAGAATACCTCAGAAAAATACTTAAAGAGTACCTCAGATAAATACTTAGAGTAAACTCAGAAAAATACTTAAAGAGTACCTCAGAAAATACTTAAAGAGTACCTCAGAAAATACTTAAAGAGTACCTCAGAAAAATACTTAAAGAGTACCTCAGAAAAATACTTAAAGAGTACCTCAGAAAATACTTAAAGAGTACCTCAGAAAATACTTAAAGTACCTCAGACAAATACTAAAAGAGTATCTCAGAAAAATACTTAAAGTACCTCAGAATAATACTTTTAGTAAACTCAGAAAAATACTTAGACTACCTCAGAAAAATACTTAGAGAGTATCTCAGAAAAATACTTAAAGAGTACCTCAGATAAATACTTTTAGTAAACTCAGAAAAATACTTAAAGAGTACCTCAAAAAATACTTAAAGAGTACCTCAGAAAAATACTTAAAGAGTACCTCAGAAAAATACTTAAAGAGTATCTCAGAATAATACTTTTAGTAAACTCAGAAAAATACTTAAAGATTACCTCAGAAAATACTTAGAGTAAGCTCAGAAAAATACTTAAAGTACCTCAGAAAAATGCTTAAAGAGTACCTCAGAAAAATGCTTAAAGAGTACCTCAGAAAAATACTTAAAGAGTATCTCAGAAAAATACTTAAAGAATACCTCAGAAAAATACTTAAAGCATACCTCAGAAAATACTTAAAGAGTATACCTCAGAAAAATACTTAAAGAGTATACCTCAGAAAAATACTTAAAGATTAAGAGTTATTGCACCGTTGCATATCCTCACTTTTTTTTTTTAAAAAAAACGACACCCACGTGTGCCACTAAAATTACAGGGATTAAACTTCACGGGCAACTTTTAGATAAGCGGTCTTAATTAAAATGAAGCAACAGGCCTGCCGAGATGTGCCGCATTTCCTCACTGAAAAAAAGCAAAAAATTATTTTTTAATTTTTTATTTTCTTTCACCCGTCGACGTTAACCGCTTTTTAAACGAATATAAATTTGCGTTTTTTTAAAGTGTCGGAGGGTCAACGTAACTTGTTGACGCGTCGTTGCGAGTCGTTGGCCAGGTGTTGTTTAAGTAATTTGTTGTTTTTAAATGTTATTGGATTGTAATTTTTTTTTTAGATTGTCTTGAAGTTACTTTTTAAAAAAACTTTTTTTTTAAATTATTTTAATGACTTTAAACCCTCTTCGTTATTTAGATATTTAGGATGGCCCAAACGTTTAACGTTTATAAATAACACGTCTAGCGAAGGTTAAGATTGTGTACTTTAACATATCACAAACACACACACACACCGTATGTTTATTTATTTTAACGATATTTACATTTAACAAACCGACTTTGTTATTGATAAAACGGCTGTACAACGTTAACCCTCACACACGTAACCACATTTAAAATATATAAAAAATTAATACAGCTCGCGAACCGCAAGAAGTTAAATATTAATAAAGTATCTAAATCGTAGTTTATTAACCCCCTCATGAGGACCAGAACCTTATTCATAATCTTGGTTCTTTGGGTAAAGTCACCACCACGTGGATAGGGATAGGGAAACAATAAAATAATAAAAATATAAAACTACAATTATTGTAAAACAATAAAATTATTAAATTTCGATTTAAAGCTTTCGTGACTGCAATGATTCATCTTCTTTGGTTCTTTCGGTAAAGTCACGTAGAATGAGAATAAAATAATAAATTGATAAAATAAAATAACACAATAATAAGATTCTCACGACGTTTTGGCCACAACACAAGCGGCCTTCATCAGGTGAAGGGAGCGAGACTGTCTGGTAGGACAGCGCTGGAGTGAAAGAGCCACGTTCAGTTGAGGCTTAAAGGCCGTGATCTGAACGTGGCTCTTTCACTCCAGCGCTGTCCTACCAGACAGTCTCGCTCCCTTCACCTGATGAAGGCCGCTTGTGTTGTGGCCGAAACGTCGTGAGAATATTGTTGTGTTATTTTATTTTATCAATTTATTATTTTATTCTCATTCTACGTGACTTTACCGAAAGAACCAAAGAAAATAAAATTATTATTCTTGGTTCTTT